CTCGTCGCCGAGACCAAACTTGAAGGACTGCAGGTAGAGGATGATTGCAGACGAGTGGTACCGACGGGAGAAACCTGGAGTTTCCCTTCACACTGTCCAGGAGACACCTGAAGAAATTCAGATAAGCGATAAGGACTAAACTCCAGAAAACAATGAAAGAAATCAGAGACTGGATCTCACCCCTTATTTGTAATGATGGGGTACACATTGCTGTTAGCCTGCAGCTCAGGCGTAGTGGCTGCCACACATTCCTCCATGAGCAGCAGCAATGGCTGATGGGACTTCTGCTCCACTGTTGCCCATATTGGCATGAAGGAGCCCAGGGGGATGACATTTGTCTCCGCTACCCCTGTTATTTTTTCTGAAAAGGGGAAAAGTAAAAACGGCTTAGTGTGCATTTTTTGAGTGTTTTGCCTTTGGGAGCATGAGCCCTCACCATTTAGGAGCAGCATGTGGAACTTCAGCCCTCCTCGGCCTTCGGCAACACCTGACCCCGGGTTCAGGAAAGGAGGAGCCCACTCCTTAGGTCTGAAATATATTAACAACATTTATCCCATATATCAGCTTTAAACTTGAATTTAAATAAGAAAGCAACTCCTACCTTGGATAAACACACTCGATGGGATACACATAAGCTGCAGGACTCGACTTTGGTCTGGGCCTGAAAGTCAGCTCATTTTTGTAGAGGAGATTTTTCCCTTTCACCTGAAGAAAAAAAAGAAGCTCATTATGACATTGAAAAGACTGAGAGGTATTTTGGTGAAACATGGCAGTTACATTACCAGTCTTTTAAAATTGCAGTCAGCTAGTTTGTAGTTAAACTCAGCGTTCCCCTCTCCGCTGGGCAGAACATTAAACCTAGATGGATTGCAGTTTCCGAGGAAGAGACGAGCTGCATATTGCCGCAGCGTCGAGGGGATCGTCCATGTGATGCTTATGGAGTCTTTTTCACACTGTACTTTGATTTCTGCAAAAAAAAATCATTATTATATATTTCCCTACATTCCCCAACAAAAGCAGATGTTTACATACATGTGCTAAGCATACCTGCATTGGCAACAGTCGTTGCAAAAAGAGTCACGACTATCACACCTAGGTAGAGTTGAGTCCCCATGACTGAATGATCTGGATCACACAGGAAGTGGCACAATTTGTAGACTCCCTGCCAAATTAGCTGAACGAGCAACACCTGTGTGAGAGCAGGGCAGCATCTGTCTACTTATACTGGGATGTCATTTCACATACTTGCAATTTCATTGTAGAGTTTTCATCTGGATAATTTCTAGTGCACTTATTCAAGTACATTTTTATTTATCTGCCCAATTGCTTCTTTTTTTTTGTATTCTACTGAATTTATTTTTCAACAATTACCTGATTATTTTACATACAACACTATTTATAAAACAATACAACAATTCAGATTAAACTACTTAAAGGCAATTTTCTCAAATCAGCCCAACCATAACAAGCTTCCAAGTCAATATACCTACATGTTAGTAAGTCAGAGATGTGCAATTACATTTAACTTTTTGTTTTAAAACATTTTTTTATGAATGATTATGGGAAGTGCCCTTTTTCTCACTTGAGCTCCCGCCCCCCAAAATGTCTGTGCACGTCCCTGGCAACAGTGGAGCAGAAGTCCCATCAGCCATTGCTGCTGCTCATGGAGGAATGTGTGGCAGCCACTACGCCAACCCTGTCTCCTAAAAATTACGTTCCCACAGAACTAAACTGCATTCTCAATTACGTTTAGCTAGAAACTTATTTTCTCCCACGTTACGTTTGTTATGAACGTATCTTATTTTCTACATATCTTCTAGAAACGTATTTTCTCCCACGTTACGTTTGTTTGATTTATTGATTGATTGATTGAAAAGTTTATTAACAGCTTGTATATTGGGTACAGTACAGTACATCTCAAAACATACAATTGTTAAGGGGATGCAGACCAGAGAAAGACTTTCGTCTTGTTTACATCAGGGTCCCCCATTTCCAATTCATCATATCATTTAAGACATATAAGACATATTTGACATACAGATGGTTTATTTACAATTTACATACAGGTGGTTTTTTTCATACAGATGGCTTATTTACAATTTTCATTTTAGATTTCGTTCTAATACATCCTAACCGGACATTTACATTTATTTAAATTGAGTTTATTTTCTACATATCTTTGCCATTTATTGTCTTGCTTATAATAATGATAATAGTCATTTATAAATATCATTTTAGAGCACACATTTGAAATCGAGAATCGGGCTCGATATATGGTTACATTTAAAATCAGTAGGAGAGGCTGTAATTTCTCCAGCTGTTACTCTCATGAGCGAGGCAGAAAATAATAGTTTTATCATGCCAAAAAGCTGCTGTGTCGTTTATTGCACCTCAAACATTAAAACAAATCCAGAGTTGCGTGTTTCTGTACTTCCTCTAAGAAGAAAGGACAGCAAAAGAAGAGCTCTGTGGCTTCAGGCTTGATCGCCGTTCAAATGACAGCGTTGGTTTCTCCAAAAGTGGGCGGGGCTGTAAAGTGACGGTGTGGCAGTGCGCCAAGGTTACGCCGAGCGTCAAGCTCTTTGAAATGGAACGAAACCACGGCAGACGTTTTCGTTTTTCCCAAAATTAGAAGTTGACAGTATTAAACTGTGTACAGCCGTGGAGGTTTAGGCGATAGGAAACAAATTGGTGTGTACAAATGTAAAACATGTAGGCTAAGTACTAAATGGGTGAAAATCGCTTGTATCCATAATGGGCAGCATTAAAGGTGGGGTCGTTCATTTTGGAGAAAACAGCTCGAGATCGCTAGAATTTGAAAATACACAGCCGGAAAAAATCTGCCACTTCCTTACAGAGCCCCTCCTCGAACACACACGAACGCGCACATGACCAATGAGGGCACGAGATAAGTTTGTGCGCAGATGGAAGGCTGACAGGCAGGTAGGCCATCCAGTTATTTTAGCTGGGCCGGCTAAAATGATTGGTCGTGCTTTTTACAGTACTACGGCTTCCACAGATGACATTTTTTTATGGATTTTTTGTCAAAGCACTTCAGATATTCATTGCTATCGGGATGTTAAGAGCATTCCATGGAATATAACAAAAAGTGTATCTCGAGCCTGTTTCTCAAACGTACCTACCCTACCTTTAATATCTTTGTACATCCAGCACTAAACTGTTTTATTGTAGAGATCACTTACAGTATCTTCTTGATTTTTTATATTCTATATTTCTATCATTGACCTTCTACTTTCCCCCTATTTTGTATGTACTCTTAATATTTTTTTTTAGCCTTTGTTTCTGCTAAAAGAGGTGTCGACCAGCTAGGGCAACAAGAAAATCGACGAAATAGAGTGTGACGATTAAAAAATAAATTAAAAACATCTAATTTTGACAATAAAAAACGACCAATAGGCGTGGTAGACCATTTGCTTGGCACTTCCGGGTATTTCTCCACTGGTTGGGCCATGTTAACAATACTGTGTAACTGTCACATTTGAAGGGACGAAACCGTGACATATTCACGTCTCCCAGCATGGTAGATCGTCACATCTTCACGTCTTGCCGTGATACCGGGTTGAGGCTAACTCTACCTGTTGTTTAGAGCCGTCATTCTTACAGCAAACATACCAGTCTCCATCAAGGAGCACAAAAGCAACTCACAGCAGACCAACTAAAAAAGCCTTGAGAATGTGAAGGAAATAAACACCATGGAACTTCGTGGCATTTAGTGCATGAGCACCAGTTTCTACAGGCACTTTGAAAATAACTGTTTGTCCACAGTGTGAAGAAAGTCATTATTAAGACTGGCAGAACCATGAACGAGTCGCAGCCTGAGTGTTGTGGTTCGCAATCGCAGGCAAAGTCCTTTTCAAGCATAATATTGTAGGTGAACTCTACCATGATGGCGGATATGGTACCCAGCTTCCCAGAAGCTATTCTCTTCAGGATGCTTTCCATCTGTGATGTGCAGACGGCATCAGATGGCAATTATCCTCAATACGGAGTTATGTTCTCATTATTATAGAGCTTTCTGTTTCTGCTGGAAAAACGTTATTTTCACCGCCCTGATAAAACGTTATCAGGGCGGTGAAACTCCTGGTGTCTGTGTGCAGGCCCGTATCCAGGATGTCGTAAATACCGAGGTCCAAAACATGCTAGTGGCTAGATATCTGTCAAGTCCTGTGTGGGGCCGCAAATTGGATAATATATTGATTTCACACCATGTCAGTGGGCTGCAGCATAAATGATATTTGAAAGTGTAATGCATGAGAATCAGTTGATTGCTACCAATAATGATCCACATTATAATCTGGACATGAAGAGGCTAACATGCTCACAAAACATTTGAAAAGTAATCTCTTCGTCTTCTTTCTGTTCATTACTCTCAGTCCTCTACTCATCACTCATTAACTCTATGCTCCTCCTTTGTCGCTCCTGCCAGTGTATTAAAAACAATTCAGTAATTTAGTTCATTTCACTTAGCAGATAGATATATGGGGTTATTAAGCCTACATAGTTTGTGTTGAACAGAAAGTAAATGCAACCCCGGGCTCAGAAGGCTGTCCCTGCAGTTCCTCTCTGACTTCCATCTCTTTCTCTCTGCCTGTCTCGTATCTCCCTTACCAAAGCTGAGCTTGGACAGATAGTCTTTTTATTATATCTATATCTGTGTCAGTGAAAAAGAAAACAATAAATGTTATCTCTTCAACTCAAATTATAATGAAAGAAACACATTGAAACTTTCGTTAAAAGGTCTGACATTGGATTAATTAAATTAACTTTAGCTCTCTGGATATTTTATCATATTGCTTTCAAAGATTTAGTGTGATCAATATTTCTGGGAAATTGACACGTAAGAAAAAAAGTTCATGACATTGAATAGACCTGGAAATATTCCCAGAAATAAGACAAGGTCATCAAGATTCAGTAATACAGCTTAGTTTAAACCATTTCACACAAAAGGCAAGTCAAACTCAATAATTTGAGAACTTCAATTAAGTAGTTCGGAAACATTTTTTTTTTTATTGGCCACATACAATCTGAAATGCAAAGAGAACCAAGAATAAAAAAACAAATTCAGATTGAAGAAACCAGTCGGCTAAATGGATCCATTCCTGTTGGGAGAACAACGTTTAATATAGCCGTTCAGAATAAATGTATATTGCAATACGAAACCCTTACCTTCAGGAATTCACATCTGTAATGGTAAATGGCCCAATGACTGCTTTTTGTACCATTCCATGTTTCTCTGCAAACATATATATTTTAGTACAAGTCAACCAAACAAGTGTAATACAGCAGAAGTTGTGTACATACCTGACGCAACACTCCTCTGCCTCCTTGACTTGCATTTCGATTCACAGCAGTCACAAAGATTGCTCTGGGCCAAGTTGTCCAGCAACTCCCAACTGAGTTCATGAAGATTGGATGAAAAGATCATTAAAATGCATCTCAACTCTTCCAAATAAAGATTCCACAAAGTTTGAATAGTTATGAATGGGATCCATCTGTATCGTCAGTAGACTGGGCTTAAGCTGAATAAGTCATCTCATGTAAAACAAAATTAACCTACAATTCAGATTCTGATAAATTGAAGTAATATTTTTACCCATGCCCTTTGACAAAGTGGCAGGCTTTCTTAGTGCTGTCAAGACCATTGGGATCCCAAGCCAAAAGTTTGCAGTGGATAAAGACCTGTTGAGTAGAGGGAAAATATAGGCGTCATGGCATAAATTAATCTCAGTTTCCACAATAAAACCTTGAATCTGAAAAAAATGTAAAGGCCAATTTACCTCTTCTCCCATAGCAAACGTAAAGGTCTGAAGTGATAGGCGGATCTCCGATGACTTTTGCCTTGGTTCGAACTTTGATCGTGATGACACACTTTCCAAAAGACATCTGTTGGGTTAAAGAAAATGTATTAGCATTACTACCAAGGTTTTGACCAAAATACGTTTTTTTAAATCAATGCTCATTGCCATGAGTACCCTTTATTGGAGATTATAGGGTACATGGTGCTTTCAGGGTACAGCTCTGGTGTGGTAGCTGCTACACATTCCTCAAGAAGCAGCAGCAAGGGCTGATGGGTCTCCTGCACCACACTCGCCATGATGGGGATGATGGAGCCCAGAGGAAAGCGTGTAGATTCAGCAGGGCCTGAGAAGTCGTCTGGGGCAGTAAACAGGAGAAGAGTCATTAAGTTACAAAAGTCAGGGAGAGCTGCCGTTCGTAGAGAGTTTCTCATGTTGTTTACCCACCATTCATAAGGCCAATGTTAAACTGCAGATCTCCTAGACTGTAGGTTTTAAACACCGGGTCATAGATCGCAGCATACCAGTCTTTGGGCCTGCACAAAATAAAGCAGAATGGTAAAGAAAATGCTGCAAAGTGACACTATTGAACTTATTAGTGCAAGCTTGTTTACTCACATTTGCTTTAAGCTCATTTAGTGGGAATGCTGATACAGCATTCCAACTACTTGTTCTACGGACAAATTCTTTATTATTATTCCGCCGGGTTATTTTGGCACTCTTCTCACACATCGCAGAAACTCCGTTCGAACATCAAAACGTTCAGCTCGGTCGGGAATCGATTGCTATTACTTTTCTCATTCATGACTTTCAATGGAGAAACTCTTCAGACTTAAAATCTTCATGCGACTTCAACTGCTCCTTCATACTTTCACTCAGAAACCTCATTCCAACTTTAAAAATGTTACACATCTTTCAGACATTATTCATATTAAACAACTTTTAAATCAGATTCATACTTTTAGAGATATTAAACATTGTTCAGACCTTGGTAAAGAGGCCTTCTTCAGATTTTAGAGTGTGATGTCACAACTAGAGTGGAGGACAGATTTCATTTTGCCTTCATATTTTCTTTTAAACCTGCCATAATTCCCAAACCCTACATTCCTGAGACATAATTTGTCATGAGAAACGTAGGAGAACATCTCGTATCTTGAAAAATGAAAAAAAATTCAGCAAAAAAAAAATTGAACAAAATGCCTCTCGAGGGCATGAAGTGACAAACTTTCAACATGTCTCCATTAAAGCCCATTGTAAATTCAGGCTCATCTTTCCTCACAGCAGCAGCCGCACACCTTTAGTTAATCTGCCAAAAATGCCACATTATTGACCAGAAAGTACACAAAAAGCACACTTCAGATGCTAAGGGTTCTTGAGATGCTTCACGTGTTGAAATTTCACCGATATCTGTTACGGTTCTTCAACAAAATGTTCACATGTAAGAGGTTTATCCCTCATTCAGAACAATGGAAAGGCTCTCCTCTCACTGATTACTGCACATCACCATGGAAACCTTTGATCTCTGGGCTCAAGGACAGGTGTTTCATAACGTTGTTAGCTCAAACATAAACACCTGTGTGACGGAACATGATGTCATAACTCCAATTGACATGCTCAGAACGCCACCAAACATCACATGATAGTTTACACTGTGGCCCTGAACAGCTCTACATCAAATCTGATGTTGGGTAATGTGGTGTTACTATGGCAACGCATCCCTCACCATAAAACACGATGTCGCTGTAACTCCAATAGACACGGTCCAATCGTCCCCCAATCTTCAGTTGTATATCACCGGTCCATGGCTCAACAGCTCTATGTCAAATCTGAGATCTCACCATATGTCGTTTCCATGGAAACGCATCCCTCGCCATAAAACACGATGTTGTCGTAACTGATATGAAAATGGTCAAAACACCACCAGACTTCAGATGACAGTTAATGGTCCAGCCCTCAACATGTCTTTGTGCCATTAGTGAATTTTCCTCAAAAGCTGTTGCCATGGCAACGCATCCCTTGTAATAAAACACAATATTGCTATAACTCCTATGGAAATTGTCAAAAAGTGCTAAAACTTCACATGTGTGCTAACAGTCCAGCCATGAAGACATCTACGGGACAGTTGTGAGATTTCTACAAATGCCGTTGCCATGGCAACACAATGCCCGCCATGAAACATGGTTCTCAACTTCAGTGAAAATGCTCCAAGCTTCACAGGTTTGGTAACGATGAAGCAATCCACATATCTAAGCGTATTATGGGGTGTCATCAAATACCGTTGCCATGGTGACAGATCATTCGCCATAAAGTTAGTTCAATAGTTTGCAGTTCAAATATTCTGCTGCTTTTCCACTTTCTTTTCACACATTCAAGCCCCCAGTGTTCATGTATCATTTCAATCTAAATTCTTCACTTTCTTCTTACACATTACATTTCAGCATAGCAATTCAGCATCAGCATAAAGTATCCCCACTAGCAATTTCTTCAGGAATTGCATTCTCTAGTTATGAACTGTTACTCCTATGCTAAAAGACAGTCCAAAAGAAGTAGACATTAACTACTGCCTCCAAAATGCAAAAAACTAGAGTGTATGATGTTCAATTAAAACTATGGGAAAAACTCAATTGACAATGAATTGGGAAAAACACAGTGTACCTTAGGGATTGTTCTCAGTAAATGGGTACATTTTTTGTTGAGAATACTTCAATAGATAAAGCTAATTTGGGAATAGAACAGAAACAGGCTGTAGATTCCCTAAATCAGTCTCCCATTCATTGTCTATATAGCAGCTTCAGACTTTATACCTGATGACATCACAAGTTTGAGACGGACTTCCATGGCTGGTGGCTTAGAGAGGAAGAAGCTTATTATCAAATTGAACTTTCCCAGGCCATGAAAATGCCACATTGGAATTGTTAGATAAGGGTGGTGTCACCCTTTAGCACCTTATGTTGTAGTTGGTATGAACACTAACCTCTCATATGCACAGACAACTGGGTGAGTGAAGGCCAAATTGTAAGAATCTGCAGAAGCAACATAGGTCAGATCATTGCTGTACACCAGTGCATCCCCGGTGACCTGTTAGAGAGACAAAGATCCCCCTGAGAGAGCTGTAGGAAATATACCAGACTCACAGCTTGGAGGTTTAAAATATATATACACATACCAGTCTCCTAAAGTTACAGTCAGTGAGATCCACATAGAAGTAGGCCTCTCCTGCTGAGAAGCTGGTTGGGAAACAGCTACCCAGACGGAGAAGCGACGTGTCGGCCTGGGGTCGGCTTTCTGTCCACATCAGCGTCACAAAATCTGGCCCACAGTCCACTTTCATGTCTGCAACACAAATAAATTAAGTTTAGACTCAACTATTTGAGACAAGGACAACAACATGACTTTAATTGTGTCCAGTCTTACCTGCATATACCGCCATGGCAGCTGCCAGGCTCAGAAGCAGTGCACCTTGACAAAATGAAACCATCATGACTGAATGCTTGCTACTGACACAGTGCATGTTCTTATACCTTGTTCCTGAGAGGCATTAATCAAGATAACGTCTTTCACCTGGTGCCTGTCAACAGTCCCAGCTGCAGCAGCTAGCACACTGATTACAGCATGGGGAGCATCCAATCACATTGGTCCTTACACCCAATTCATTTGTATTCAGCTTCATCAGCAGCACAAAATCACCATTTGTTAATCAATTTATTATCCTGTATGACTACCTGAAATTCTTATTTAAAACACTTTAAGGATGATAGTGCATGGGTTGTCTTACTGGTGTTTTGATTTAGTTTTGCTGTTATATATCAACATTAATATATGTATACGTTGGGATTCTTTGTTCAACTTCAAGTCATGAAAGAAATAGTTTTCATTGAGAATTAAAAGGAGAGTCATTTCTAAACAAATGATCATTTGGGGGAAGGTAGTATTCCTTTATCAGATGTCCTGTCTTATTCAAATGTGTTATTTGTATATCTTTGACCTAATGGAAACTTAAGGTAAGGGAAAAGGTACATTTTTCAGTTCATTCAAGTTGTATACAGATGAAGCGTCTTATTTTGGACAGTTTAAAGTGCGAGGGTCGTGATCGGTTCGTGCACGTTCCGTGATGGCCGGCCGGCCCCCAGTCTGACTTGATACCGCCCCCATGATAAATACATTTAATTATTGTGAAGCCAGCTGCAATGGATCATTGATCCACCAGGGGGTGCAGTGGGGTTCCACACTGGAGTCATGTGAAATCAACTTCTTTGTTGTTAAGATCCATACAGTGTATGTCACGGATAGGATCATAGTCTGTGCTAAATAAGACATGTAATCATTTAAATAATGTTGTTTAGTCGGAAAAAACGAACGAGCCGGCTCTCCCGATTTTTAATCCTAATTTAATCATCATCATTGATGTTTATGTTCGCCGAATTGACATGAAATCACTGACAAATATGAATATTCTGTATTCAACTTCATTGAAACGATCAGGATGGGTGTCATTTTTCCCCACAATGACCAAGTCGCTGCAAATGATCCCATGTATTACATGTGCATGGCCACATTCTCAACAAAGTTACGTAACGAAACATTCTGTATTCCTTGCTTACTTTTTATTTAATGCTTTATAACAGCTGGAATAGTTCGTTTAGAACAGGCACCTCACTCGCAATCTGCTCCTCCGCAACGCCTACCACCTACCTCCGGCTGAAATTATGAATGTATAGTAATCATAGATAACACGGCAGGGTCCGTTACAGTTTGTTTTCATCTGATTTCAAATATTTCAAATGTCTGAAGTTAATAAATACATTCTCAGTGTTCAAGTCAATAATAGTCATATAAGAAAAGTACTGATCTAATAACAGAGATTTTATAAGGACTTTTCAATGTTCGACATCGCTCATGTGAAATACAGTAAACTGGATGTTGTGGTGCCGAGAGGCGGGGTATCAAAAGTACAAGCTAAACTTTTATTTAGCATCTGAACACACTTGTAAACAACGTGATGCCCGGGAAGCGAAGACCCGGCGGAAACAGCTGGTCTGGTTCACTAAAATGTCCGTGTACAGTATATCTGGTACTAATGTATAGCGGATCTTTGTTAAGATCCATATGTCACAGATAGGATCATAGTCTGTGCTAAATAAGACATGTAATAATTTACAAAATAAGCGTTATAAATGAACCCTGACTACTTGTGTTTAGGACTCACTGTATTTTGTTACTCTCTAGGTCTGTGGGCCAAATCCAGATATGGGGGGGGGGGGGGGGGGGGGTTCTGTTAGAAGGTGCGACGGGGGAGGGGGGAGAGAGTTAGACGCTCGTGAATTGTCAACGGGGGGGGGCCTCTCTGCACGGAGGAGCCGCGGAGAAGTGAATCACAGTGATCTCATAAACATATGACCAATGTGCGAGGGTGATGACATCAGAGCATCGTCCTATGGGCTTAGCCCCGGACAGGTACAACAGGTATTCACTCAGAGGGGGGTAGTTACCCATTTACATGTCAAAAAGCAACAAACAGTGGGCGGGTGGGGGAAGTATACTGAGAAGTATATAATGAGAACTGCTACCAATGGTGGCCTATTTAGTTTATTAAGAAATACATATTTGTAGCTTTTTTTTTATCTGCAGTAGGAAATGCAGAGAGTAGCGACAGGGCTGGTCCAACCTGATCTGTAAAGTGATCTAACTAAGTGCTATTCATTTTCTTGACGGGGAAGTGCAGTGTAAATGGGGGGCTTATATGCATTTGAAAAGCAATATAAATCAAACAGTTCGTATACAATAGGCATTAAAAGCACCGTCGATAACCATTGCCCTTCTCCTATTCAAACCAAAAGAGAAAATGCAGATATTACACTCTGAAAAGAAAGGGTAGACATATCTGTACTCTTAGTGCCAAGTAGCTAAATAAATTCTCCAAATCAAACCAAATCAAACCAAGATATCTTGGGTATTCACTCAGAGGGGGGTCGGTGAACCGGGCAGAGTTTTTCGCCGGTCAACGTGTGTGAAAGTTTAAAGTTTATCATCTAAATTTGCCGAAACAAGTTTAATATTCTGAAAGCCAAGACTTTGTTTATTTGAAATCAGATGAAAACAAACTGTAACGGACCCATTTTATTCATATTCTGAGTCATAAAGACTTTATTTAAAATAAACATTTATAACTAGTTTAGGTTGTTTGAGAGGTACAGCTACCATTCTTTAATTAGATGTTTGATAAGTGCATGCAGATCACATAAAACACGTACACAGATACATTATTTTGTATTTTTATTAAATTTGACAATCTCAATTTCACTTTCCACTATGTCCACCGTTGTTTTTCACAACCAATGGCAGAACTTTATTGAGGCCTGTAATTAGTCAACTACAGGTCTCTTGAAGTCTTTTTCTTCCAAAAAGCTTGTGACAAGATGTTATTGCTCTTGGGGCATTAAAAACAAGATTTTAACTTTAGTTTTTTATATAATATCTGCATTGTCTCTTGTGAAAAACTAAGTCTTACTTTGGCCATAGTTATTTAATATATAGCGCCATCTCCTGGTTAAACCCTGAAATTGGAGAATAGTGGGAGGGCCTAACATTCCTGAATACTGGTCTTTGGCAGGTCTTAGGCAGGCAACTGGCTGGCAGTCGGCAGGAAGCTGTATGCTGGGGTCCAAAATAAGAGGCTCCATCTGTACAGTGTGAGAAAATATCCACACTCACACACCTGAATATTAGTGTTGCTATGATGTCCTCTTTTAACTGCATAAACACGTGCCATGCAGGCCATCCCTATTGATTTTATATTCATGGCCAGAAAGTAAACTATGCTACATTCAACTGCAGGCATTAGTGCCCAGAAAATAAATTCAGATCAGAATTGTCTTTTCAAATGAGGCTCAATGTAAATAGTTGCCATAGATGTAAAACCAGACAGATCACCAATAACTTTTAAATCTGGTGGTGTATGTAATGTCAGAATTGATATCATGTGCAGAGCTCAATGTAACATGGAAAGTGAAAGAAAAATTCAGGGGCTATACTCCAACTCACATGGCCATTAAAGGTCAATTATAATTGACAGTACTTGACAGTATCTTTCAATGACAAAAGTCACACATAATTAGTAAAATTCTACTGCTAGGACAGATGGACACAGTTGAGGACAGTAGGACCTTCATATGAAGTAAAGATACTCGTTTTATACTCCACAGGAGTTAACAGTTTTATTTATACAGAGATTATAGACAACTTTAATCTGCATATGGATGTCGTCCACCTGGGCCCTCTGTTCAGTCTCCCCAATCTTAGACTGGACTTTCTGTTGAGAAAATGTTTAGCAACGTTAGTCTTATGGCAAGTTTTGAAAACACTTCAAGACAAATACCATAAATAAATAAATACTCATTAACCTTGGTCAGCAATGGAAACATCTGATGCATTGTGGGCATTTTGTTGCGATGGATCCATTATGATCAGGGGTCCCAACACAGAAATGTGCCTGAAGCCGTTGGATTCTGAGGTGGAAAAAAAACAACAATAACTTCATAATGAAAAAGACTACACTATATAAAAAAAGCATACAAGTTAGCATAAAAGCGATACCCCATTCGTCTCCTCTCTTGGAGCGAGTGTTGCAGGTCCTAGAACAGCAGTCACACATGGAGCTCTGCATGGGGTCATCCAGGAGTTCCCATCTGAGGAAGCAGCAATCGTTAAGGCTCAAATACATCAGCATGGCTTTAAAACATTTTGTATACACAGAAGAAAAAAGCTGTGATAAAAATGGTATGATGTTTCTATAAAAAACTAAAACTGGTAAAATTATGAATATCAAGTTAATGACCAAAATATATATTTCCATCTACAGTGCAGAAAAAGGTTAACATTTTACAAAGGCTCAGGGCTTTTTTTTATTTTATAAATCTCATTAGGTTGGCTAATCATTTGAGTGCCCCTCTTTTTAAAACAAATATATTGTTATTCTCAAATATTTTACAATTATCATTCATCACAATTGTTGTCTATACTTTTAGTTAGCAGGAGATCATTTTTTATAGATATATAAAAGCACAATACTGATCAAAGTACATGCATTGATCTACTTCAAGTTAGATTTGTTATGCTAAAATAAGCTAGCATCCTTGGCTCATGGTGCATACTTGTTGCACATGGCATCAGTTGCATTCATCATATTAAACTGCTGGCAAGAACATTTTCACATACTTCCAACATGTCAAACTCTTCCCTTACCGCTCATTTCCCTTTACGTAGTGGCAAGCTTTCTTGCTCTCACTTAGAACTTCAGGATCCCATGCGAGCAGTTTGCAGTGAATGTACACCTGAGGAGCACATGAAACATACACGTTTGCTAGGAACCAAATATTCTTTAGAGCACTTTACATTTACCCCCTCACCTCGTCGCCGAGACCAAACTTGAAGGACTGCAGGTAGAGGATGATTGCAGACGAGTGGTACCGAGGGAGAAACCTGGAGTTTCCCTTCACACTGTCCAGGAGACACCTGAAGAAATTCAGATAAGCGATAAGGACTAAACTCCAGAAAACAATGAAAGAAATCAGAGACTGGATCTCACCCCTTATTTGTAATGATGGGGTACACAATGCTGTTA